TTTCTTTCTGTATGTCACTACACAGACAGTGTTCTGCTGAAATACGATATGCTCCGTGACTGTATCTAGACAGCTGAGTAATGGTCAAACAGCTGGCCAATGATTCATTTTCTTTTCCAGGCTGCTCTCACTTTGAAAGTTTCAATCAGCATTGTGTCAGAATGAGCACAAAGGAGAACAGAGCAGGTAATTTGACAAACTGGGATGTTCGCCTGAAACAACTGGATTGTTTATTAACTCACAAAACAGTCTGTGGCGGTTGTGATATGGGTGATTTCTGTCTAGACAGAAAGAGTGTAGAACACATTAACTAGTAACATGGCCAGAGTGAAAGGAAAAGGTTGAAGGAATCCCCGAGCTATATGAATATACAAAACTTTCATGGACATGAAATGTTAGCCTTAAGCAAATGCCTCATGAATTATGACATTTCTACATTCATTTGGTAACTGCCATCCTTTTTTCTTTCTTTCTTATTCTTGTCAAATATTCTTTTTTATGAATACCTGCCAGGAAATGTCCATTCATACCAGCTGTTGTACAAAAAGAAGTCATAATATTCCACTTTACCACCCTTGAAAATGTATGTTTGAAACCACAGGGCTTTCAGATTCCCATCTCACCGCTATATCGGTCATAGCTGACCACCAACATTTATAAGTTTGTAGAAATGACACTTGGGCACATTAATTATACCAACAGAATGGTTACACATTTATGGGGGGGAAAAAAACTAAACCCCCCCCGAAAAACTGTGACCACATGTTAAACATTTCCTATGTAGTACTGATTTGATGACATTTCTCGCCTCATAAGTTCTGCTATATTTATCATTCCTCCTGTCCATGTTTATGCTACAGAGGTTGCAGAGTCAAGACAAACACAAGACTACATGGCCAAAATTATAGGAACACCAGTTAATCAATCTCTCATTCCATTCTCAGGTAGGTAAGGGTTCACATATTTTTGGTCATGAATTATATAAACATAGTTCTAGAGTTGTAGGCCTAAGGTGCTGCTCTAATCAGTTCTTTTTTTTATGGCACACCATTAATATCTGAAACTTTGACAGGTTTATATAAATAACATTTGCAGTCTTTTCACCTCTGGAAAAGAGGAATACATGTAATTATCTGTGTACTTCCATACTCTCTCAGAACCAAAGTCTGGGAATGCTCTCTATACAAGAAGACAGAAGGAAACAAAGCATATATTTTTTTCAACCTAATAATGTAATGTGTTGGGAGATGGAAAATGCAACACGCACCCACCTTAGCCCCCCCACGTGCACACATACATAACACGCATAGCATCCCCAAAACAGACAAAGCCTCAACATACACATACACACACACACACACATTCTGAAACACCACTCACATATACTTGCACTTTAGATTTTGAGGTGCACAACTTTTAAATTTCACCCTGGGAGCCAGGTTATATAGAAACTACTTTTACTAGATTGTGTTGTGGTTTAATTCATCCATTAACTATTTAAATCAGGTAGATCCCCAGATATTTAGAACTAAAACTTTAATCATCCTTTGTCATTCTAAAGATTTGACAAAACATCACGAGCGTTGTAGTTTGACAACATCTATGGATCTACGTATTGGGCACTCCTGTATAAATAATGTTAAAAAAAACATGGGGGTTGTCAGACATCACTTTTAATCAGGGAAGTTCAGTAAATGGTTTCCCCTCTTTATGAAAGGTATGCCAGGATTTCTGAAAACATTTGGGATGATGACAGGTCTACTATGAACAATACAAAGTTTGTTAATGTCTTACCAGGTTCCGATGCACATCGAGGCTCTATTATTGGCATGGAAGAGAAAGAAAAACATATTAAATGTATTAAAAACACATTAAACCATGAAATCAGGATATTGTAGAATTAGATTAGTGTCTAATCCAAATAACATGAAAACAAAAGCAAACTAAGGACAGATGGCCCCCAACATATGTTCGGGTATGTTTTACATTTCTTGATTGAGATTAAGAGACGGATGATTGCTGATCAAAAGCAAAAAGAATTAAACAGTGTCAGCTGATACAGTTCTTCCTGTGACATCACAGCGCTTAGTGCAGCTTACGCTTTACACGTTTCCGAATTCTCTGGTAGAGGTCAGACAAAGGGCGCTTTGTAAAGAAAAACCTTTCACCTTCACATCATTATTAACTCATTCAATTACAATTTATTTTCATCTAAAGGGAAACTGTCAATTATCTACAATTAACAGCACTGAATAAAACATTTAAATCCCAATAGCTTGTTCTCTGTTTTCTTTGAAATTTAGAGAAGATTAAACAAATGAGATCATAATTCAGGAAATAGGGCAAGCATTGCACATGAAGATGAGTAACATTGTTTAATTTATCCTCTTCTCTTTGTATTGTATAATGTGCAAATGCAGTAAGCATATTTTATACTTAGGACCTGTATTGTACATTGGTATATTGGTGGCTTCTACTGAATTCAACACTGACAGCACTCTCTCCCTCCCCCTTTCCTGTTTGCCAGAGGACAGCCACTAGGTTTTACACACAAACATTGCTGTGAAGTGTGGAAGGATGAGTGGAACTCTGCAGACATGTATAGGTACACAACGGAGCACTGCAAGAGAGATTTGGTTTTCTGCAGGGTGCAACCATCTTTGGAGCAATGGAGTAGGTGATTGGGACTTTATGGGCTAAATGTTGTAATATTGTGTTGTTGGGAGGGAACGTTTTATTTGTTAACCCTCTCTCTTTTTTTGGCCAGGCCTGATCGAAAAAGTGCTGCACATTTTCCCATAAAAAATATATCAACTACAAGCAGTAATTAAAAAGTAGTTTTACAATAAAATAGACATGTGCATTCGTTTTAATACAAATACGATTTCGTCAGAAAATTCATTTTTTTCGTATTTATTTATTTAAAACGTAAATGAAAGCCCTACAAACTAAATATAAACGAAACAAAAGGACAAATGCTGAATGCATAATTTTTTAGTTTTGTTTAGTTCGTTTAATAGACTCCATGCTGCAGGGGAGCACAAATAATTAAAATGGGGGGCACATAGTGCCCCCCACACCACCACCCGTGACCTGCGGGTGCGGGCTTTAATATAAACGGCCACTGGCTGCTCGCTGTCATTTAAAACTGGATATAAATGTATCCTATATAGAAGTGTTCGACTGTAAGTGTACGTGTAAAAAGTAGCTATTTAGATTTTAATAGCTACTTTTTCATATTGCAACATTGTTATAGTTGTTGCTATAACTTTTGGTTACATGTACTCTTACCGTAGCTCTCTATCACTTCTATATAAAACACAGATTTTTATATCCAGTTTTAAATGACATGCCTCTACCACATGGCACAGGTAGGGAGGGGCATGCTGGGGGATGTAACCTGTGACAGCCCCCCCCCCCTTATTGCACTAGTGACTGGGCACAAGTACATTTAAATTTGTTTAGGCGACATGCCCCTACTCCCTTTTATTAATATGGTTTTATTAAAAGGTTTTAATGCAAAGGTTGGGGTAGGAATATAGGGGTGGTGCTGCCGGCTCCCTTCTGGCTTTTTTTTTTTGTGCATGCGCAGTGCTGTTTTCGTCCTAATGGACAAAAACAAATAATTTTTTTGCTCATGAAATTCGGGATTGATGAATGAAAATTTTATTTAGTACGAAATCATTTGTACGAAAAATTTCACTGGTGCACATGTCTAAAAATAATAATTCTAAACACAAAAAAGTACACACACTATAGTGACAGTTGGGTGTTGCTACTAAACAATGACAAATCTCTCAAGTGCTCTTTAGGTGAAAGCATTAGATGTCAAGCTCAGACATTTTGGAATACGCCACCTTAGATGGCATTAGATGTAGTGGATCATGACTGCCATGATGTTCACTCAGCTGAAACATTTTAGTTCATAGAGACTGCAGTGAGTGAGGGGACAGTGATAGGGGCTGCAAAGATTTGAGGGAGTGATAGGGGCTGCAATGAGGTTGTCAGGTGATAGTGTTTGTAGTGTTTTGTAGTGTATGAGGGGGCACTGGCTGTAGTGTGGGGCTGATAGGGTATGCAGTGTCTGAAGATTGTATACGGGGGGAGAGGTGCTTTCCTGAGGGAGGGTGAAATGGACTGCAGTGAGGTGGGAAGGGTGACAGGGGTTGCAGTGAGTGTGGGGAGGGTGATAAGGAGTGAGTGAGTGTGCACTGATATACATGGGCAAGTGATACTTGTGCTCTGCACCAGCAGACTATGAGCTTATGTGCTAGGGTGGGCTGGCAGTTGGTGAGGGAGATCTTTGATCTCGCCATAGCTCGGGCAGTGTAGTGGGGGTCTATTTATGTGTTCACGTAGGAGAATCCTCCTTCATCTTGGGCAGCTCCCATCAAGCACTTGGAGGAAGTTATACAATGTGATATCACTTCCTCCCAGCACTGCTGAGGAGGAGTGTGGAGAAAGGGGCAAACCAGTCGAGGGAGCAACTAGACCCCAACACAAAAGTGTAGACTACACATGCAGACTCCTACCACCATGACCAGCAGAAAAGGTTATGGTGGTTAAAGTAACCATTTTGACATAGGCGAATACACACTGACACATAGATACACACACTGGCACATACAAACACATATATACACACCTTGATACACACCAGCAAATACAAACACAGATACACACACTGTGACACATAGATACACACACCTTGACACACATATACATACACACACACACACACACACACAAATACACACACACAGATACACACTGGGTGTGTATCTGTGTCAGTGTGTGTACCTGTGTGCCACTATGTGCCAGTGACACAGGGATACACACTGGCACATACAAACACATTTATACACCTTGACACACACTGGCACATACAAACACAGATACACACACCTTGATACACAGACACATAGAAACAAAGATACACACACTTTGACACACAGATACACACATCTTGACACACCAATACACACACAGATACACACTATGTGCCACTATGTGCCAGTTTGTGTGTGTGTGTGTGTGTGTATCTGTGTGTCAGATACATACACACACACACACACACACACACACACAGATACATATTGACACACAGATACACACACAGGCACATACAAACACAGATACACACACCTTGACACAGAGACACACACCGGCACATACAAAAAAAAATACTCAATTTTATTTATTTTTTCCGGGGTGGGGAGGGAGGGGTTGGGGTGGAACCCCTGCTCTAGAGAAGCTGTCTATTCTACCATGGTTTAGATAAATGTTGCCACTATAAGTTGTGTTATCAAAGGTCCATAGCAGGCTGGTAATGATCCACATTTTTAATTTTGATAGGTAAATAGCAGCAAAGAGTCCATCAGTCAGGGGCCTCTTGTTCTTCTTCAGTGTCGTGTCTAATCTTATCTCATAATTTATGTCCAGCAGGGGTTTATGGAATTTGAAGTTCAGCTCACCAAAGCAGTTCTTTCTATCAGATCTGATGACTAAGCAGCTAAATAGATGTATAGCAGCCATGAATTAGTCTGAGCAAAGTGGCTTTGTCGCTGTGCGAGTCAGAACAGTCAGTCAAATTGCTGCAGTTATAAACACATTTGCGCACAAACGCAATGACAGGGACCTCCTTACATCACAACCCAAGCTATGAGCAATATTTGTCTAGAGAAGCCTCAATTTGTTTTGTTCACAGCTTAACTTCCTACTCCTTTGTAAAAAAAAAGATAGGAATAATAAGTTTGCCAGTGTGCAATATTTAACATATTTTACAATATGTAATTTAAAAATGTTGAGCTCATCTCAGCTTGGCAAAACAGATATTGGTGGAAAGTACCTATAAATTCCACAGCACCCACAAGCAGCATACATGGATTCTGCATGGTTAAAAAAATATATATATATCGTCATGAACATGTGGTGAGTTTTTCTCACCAGTTTTAATATCTATTAAATATAAGATGCTTTTCTCAGCACCTTCCACTAGCCAAGTTCACCGATAGTCATGAAAATATGTTTAAAGACATATTCTCTTGTGTGAATGTCTGCACTGAATCAGATGTACTCACATTTTCTGAACCAGGTGCCTAATGTCGAAGCAGTACTTCTGTAATGATGTCATTAGATGTTCACTGACAGTCACCACTTTGCCATCAAATTGCTGCTGCTGCATTTAAATTGAATGACGTTTCAAATTCCTTGGAGCAAACTATAACCCGCCATTAACTACTTTCTATGATGAAGGTGAATCTGCATTAACACACCCTTGCACATGAGTGGCATTGAGCACTTGTCACCAACCACTTGTGCGATTATGACTATAGAACAAATTACATCAGATTTGGTGCCTAAAATAGAAAGTGCATGCATTCCATTGTTATTTTTTGGACTTTTGCCAAAAAGCTGAGGCTTGAGACCATAAAAAAAAAAGTTAAGCGCTTCTAAATTTTAGCTCATTAGCTGAGAGTGTTCATAACAGGGATCTGTAGTGGTTACAAAGCTTCAAGGTTTTCTTTCATACTGTATTGTAAAACTAGGACAAACACTTAAAAGAAGACAAACTTTAACAGAAATGCAAGTGATTATCAGTGAAATGTGTTGGGTCACAAACGGTCCTTCTTCATGCTCCCATGTGTAGCACGTATAAACTTGTTTCAGTATATTCCTCTATCCATCCTTATCTTTACATAAATAAAATAAACGGACATGGGTTTAAGAAGCCAAATAATCCTCAAGATTAGAATAAAACATGTGACTTTGTACAAGCAAAAATGGTTCACAGTCACAGTGGCGGCTGGCAGAAGCATCCTAAGTGTCTGAGGAATGCTGCAATAGGTGATGGAATTTATTTTATAGAGATGTATTTAAAATGTATTTAAAAGATTTCTCTACTTAAAGGACCACTATAGGAACCCAGACCACTTCAGCTCAATGAAGTGGTCCGGGTGCCAGGCCTGCAGCTGAAAACATAGCAGTATCAGAGAAACTGCTATGTTTACACTGAGGGTTAATCCAGCCACTAGTGGCTGTCTCACTGACAGCCACTAGAAGATGCGGGACATCCACAGGAGAGCATTAAGTAATGCTTTCCTATGGGTGGTTTAAATGCGCTCGCACTCTTGCCGCGCATGCGCATTCAGTGCTGATGTCGGCAGGAGGAGGAGAGGTCACCAGGGAGCCTGGCACTGGAGAAAGGCAAGTGGCTGAAGGGGTTTTAACCTCTTCAGCCCAACAGGAGAGGGGCCCTGAGGGTGGGGGGACCTAATAACTCTACAGTGCCAGGAAAATAAGTTTATAACTCTTGCATTGTTGCTTTAATTTAGGCACCATGTTCCATCATGCTGGGGAGACTGTCCCACTCAAAAGTATTTGCCTCCTCCTGCCTTTACATACATATCCATGCATGTGACATAAACTGCAGCAAATTATTTTGTGGCTTACTTAGTGAACATGTATTTATGATGTACAAACACCTGTATTGCAGACATTAGACCAATACTGTAGACTTGTGCATTCGGTTTCACCCAAATCGCAATTCGTCCGTATTTTAGGCGATTGGGGTGTCACCTGAATTTCTCTATAGATGAAACAAACAAAATGAACAGTGAGCAAAACTCTTTAGAGTGAGATGTGATGTGGAGTTCCATCCACAGTGCCAAAAAAAGAGAAGATTGGTGGGAAAAATGATGATTGGTGGTTAGGGGACAGCCACAGATTAAGTGAGAAGTGACCAATAGAGGGGGAACAAAATTATATAAAATATTATATATTTTCCCTCCACATGTTGTTTCTTCTCACTTGATCTGTGAGCCAAATGGTGGTATAAAATAATATTTATATTTTTCAGTACACAGGGATTGGGCAAATGTTGTGCCCTTTTGGTTCATTGGAATTGTACGAACTCAAAGACCACATGGACAAATGTATCCAAATCCACTACTATCCACTATTATGCATTAATTTACCCCTTTAGTGAATAAACCCTCCTGTATTTGAAACACTGCAGATTTCTACATTTAAACCGGTAAGGTTGTGTTTGCAGACTGTGTTATTACAGCCCTATTGTAGCTGAATAATTAAAAGCAGAATGTAGGATAGAATGCAACCTTACTTTTCTGAAGTATCCTGAAGTCTGGGGAGTCCTGAATTTCGGTGCCTTGTCTGAACCATTTGACACTTACAGGAGGTGTACCCTTCACCCGGCACTCTAGCACCACCACCTGTCCTTCAGTCGCTGTCAGACTTTGCAGTTCCTAGATTTAAACACAAAAAGAGAAATGGACATACACTAAGTTGCTGATACGGAAGCACAACGTAACAATACATTTTATTGGCAATTATAATGTACTCATTTGTGGAAATAGGCAAAAGAGTAAAATATGCAATCTGGGCTATTTAAAAAAAAATATTTAAAAAGAAATGTATTAGTAAGGCCTTACACATTTTGTTACATGCAGCTTATCACTCATAGAACATATTACTTTATCTTCTCTCAATAGAGATAATGATATAGTGATAAGGATCTGGTCCCTGGTGTCTCTACTTAAAGATGGTTTGTTCACTAAAATGGGGAAATTTGAAAAAGGGAATGGCAAATATTAAGTTAATATAGCTAAATAGATATATAATTAAAAAAAGTGAATTCAATTATTCCAGCAATTTTGACCTAAACTTTCAAATTCTCTATTTTTTCAGCTTGGTTACTTTGTCCTCTTTTACATTATCCAGAATTCCTGGTATAATGACCCATCCCAGTAGTTCATAACACTTATGTCACCTAGTACTCTTTCACAATGCTGCAATATAATGTTGTACAATTTATATGTGCTAGTCCTCTACAGAATTAAAATAGTTAAACACACAAGATGTTACAGAGAACCAGATAGAATAAGAAACACTGGGGATTATACAAAAAGAATGGCTGTGGAGCAATACACCATAACTGGAGCAATCACCATGGAAACTAATGGAATGCTCCTGTTGATTGCTCCACTTTTAGAACTTTGCTCCAGAATTGCTCTTTATCAATAAACCCCACTGTATGTTTTTAACAATGGTCAACATGGTCTGGTATTGATGTCTCTCTTTAGACTTCAGCATTTCTTCCAATCCGCACTGGAATGTTTGCCATATCCAGACAGTGAGTCAATATCTGATGACATAGGAAAGAAGATATTCGAACGAAGCTTGACTTCACTTCCAACCGTAGGGCATTGAACAGTTTGTTAGTAAGTGGTTTTTGTAATTAAAACCAGCTTACTAAAGAGACAATTACGTAACTTTCTCTGATTTAGAACAAAAACCTTCAAAATTTAATAAAGACATTATTTTAACTTGATATTATTAAGAGAAGCTTTTAAGGCAGATAAGATTATCTACTCAGTTCAGATGATACCAGCTTAAAGTGAGGTAATAAATTTCTTATCTGTCATATTATAATGACTCTATATTAAATCACAAACCATCCAACGATAACAGAATATTATTTTTGTAGTATATGCAGAGGGTGTTATATTTACATATATGTGAATATGGGCGATATTTACATTTACATACACATGCACAGTGTATATGCTGAGTTTAGTTACACACTTTTTTTGTTTCTAAAATATTTTATAAATTAACAATATATCGCTCCCTTCAGATACTATAATGCTACTTCCAGTAATAAAGAAGTAATGATTACCGAGGGACAACGTATTAAGTCAAAAGCAAACTTGGACCATGAACTTGCCCAAGCTAACAGTTTTATCTTACAGTTGCTCTGGGTTGTCTTTGTTATATAACAACGGTCTTAACAACAGCTAATGATACCGAACAATTCTGAGTAACATAATCAGTTTGATTGGTCACAGTAAGAGGTTTAATGTGTATTAACTTACCAAATAGCACATATTAAATGCATCATGGGGCTCCACTTGGCCTCCACTCATTCCCTAATATACACACCAGTTTTGGGTCACACCAAGTTCCCATCAGCATCATAAACCCTCCATTACATATATGGTGACATACTGGCCCTCCTCACAAATTGATAACCTGTTAACTTGTTTCAAGTATGCCCATTCCTAAACAAATTCACATTTG